AACCAATCAGGAGCCTCGTAGCAGCCGACCAATCAGGAGCCTCGTAGCAGCAGACCAATCAGGGGCCTCCTAGCAACCAACCAATCACGAGCCTTGAGGCAGTCGACCAATTAGAGGCCTTGTAGCAGTCGACCAATCAGGAGCCTCGTAGCAGCCGACCAATCAGGAGCCTCGTAGCAGCCGACCAATCAGGAGCCTCGTAGCAGCCGACCAATCAGGAGCCTCGTAGCAGCCGACCAATCAGGGGCTTTGTTGCAGCCGGCCAATCAGGGCCCTCCTAGCAGCCGGCCAATCAGGAGCCTCGTAGCTACCGACCAATCAGGAGCCTCGTAGCTACCGACCAATCAGGAGCCTCGTAGCTACCGACCAATCAGGAGCCTCGTAGCTACCGACCAATCAGGGGCCTCGTAGCAGCCGACCAATCACGAACTTTGTAGCAGTTGACCAATCAGGAGGCTCGTAGCAGCCGACCAATCAGGACCCTCCTAGCAGCCGACCAATCAGGGGGCCTCGTAACAACCGGCCAATCAGCAGCCTCGTAGCAGCCGACCAATCAGTGGCCTGCTAGCAACCGACCAATCAGAGGCCTCCTAGTAACTGGACAATCAGGAGCCTCATCGCAACCGACCAATCAGGAGCTTCCTAGCAGCCAACCAATCAGGGGCCTCCTAGCAACCGACCAATCAGGGGCCTCCTACCAACCGACCAATCAGGGACCTCCTAGCAACCGACCAATCAGGGGCCTCCTACCAACTGACCAATCAAGGGCCTTGTAGCAGCCGACCAATCATGAGCCTTGTAGCAGCCGACCAATCAGGGGCCTCGTATCAGCCGACCAATCTGGGGCCTCCTAGAAGCCGACCAATCAGGGGCCTCGTTGCAGCCGACCAATCAGGGCCAACCTTCGTTATCAGCGAGTTCGTAGTTAGCCGTGTACGTGCACACGCACGCACGTGTACGTGCACACGCACGCACTTTTACGTGCACCCGCACGCAAGTGACGTGTACGTGCACACGCACGCACGTGTACGTGCACACGCACGCACGCACACGTGCACATGCACGCACGCACGTGTACGTGCACACGCACTCACGCACGCACGCACGTGTACGTACACACGAACGCACCTACGTGTACGTACACACGGACGCACGCACGTGTACGTGCACACGCACGCACCTGTACGTGCACACACACGCACGCACATGTGCACACGCACGCACGCACGCGCGCGCAGGTGTACGTGAACACACACGCATGCACGCACGTGTACGTAGACACGCACGCATGCACGTGTCGTGTCACTGCTTTCATCGAGTGTTGAACGCAATAATTGGTTTATGCTAGGCACGCCCCTCAACAACCAGCAGCTACGATGGCGTAGTGGATTTACACTGGAATTCATCAACATTTGCGTACGCAGGTGCTACGCTGCGTTGATGAATCGCACCTACGAGCTTTGCGTACGTACTTCGTAGAAACTCTGTGTACGCAATACACTTTACAAAACGTTGATGAATCTCGCCCCAGAATCGCTACGGGTTGCAGTTGCACGTTTCCGCAGACGTAGCGATTTCACAGCAATTTCGACTGCGATTCTGGAATCGCTGTCGAGTTGCATGAAAACGTCGAAAGTCTGCGCTAGGC